CACTGACTTGACTGACATTGGTGTTGAAAATCCGGATCTTGTTCGGCATGCTGAGTGCAGAAGATCTCCACACTGGTTTCAGGCTAATGAAAGCCTGTCTTGCTTTTCCGATCCTGACTTTGACATCCTCGTCTGTGCCTGTGCTGCCTGTAGTTGAAACAGTGCTGGCCAGGTGGATAGGTGAAGGAGGTTACTTCCTTTAAGTTTCTCCCGTTGATGGTGATTGGAGTTTGTTGTTGTTGTTGGAGTTGTTGGTGCGGTATCTTCATCACTTCTGCCTTCTCTATATTCACTTGAAGTCCCGTCTTCGCTGCCCTGCCCTGCCCTGCCCTGCCCCGCCTCTCCTGTCAACTTGTTAGTTTTCGCCTGCAGATCTTCAAGTTTGTGTGACATCAGGCACAAGTCATCGTTGGCGAAATCCAGATCTTCTAGGTTCTTTTCCGCAGTCCAGCCAGTGTATCCCCCTCTTCTCACAGCTCCTCACTGTTTGCTGCATGATCCAGTCTAGTCGACCGCAATCAGGAATATCATGGGTGATAGTAGGCAACCTTGTTTCACTCCTGTCCCCTGTCTTCACTTCGAAAGCATCATTGAGCTTCCCATTGTAAATTACTTGGCTGGCATATGGCGTCTTCATTTAGTTGTTGAATGAGGCTGATAAGGGTTTGCGGTATTCCGTAGTATTGAAGCAGTTTCCAAATTACCTCTAGGTCGACGCTGTCAAAGGCCTCCTCAAAGTCGATAAAGTTGAGGTGTAGAGTTGACTGCCATTCTATACTCTGTTCTATGATGATGCGTAGTGAAGCGTTGCAATTTGGTCGGCACATGATTTGTACTTCCTGAATCCAGCCAGCCTGCGTGTTCCGGTCGTAGTTTTGAGTCCAGTGCATCCTTTAGCCTCTCTCTCCAGGATGATGCGGCATAATATTTTGCTGGCACTGGGTGGACAGGAGAGTGACTCCGCGCCAGTTCTTGCAAACACTGAGGTCTCCCTTCTTCGGCAGTTTGACAAGGTAACCCTTCTTCCAATCAATTGGCAGGTACCTTGTCTTCCTTCCACACCTTCTGCAATAGTGGTGTGGTGTGAGCATGTCCGCTGTTGTCTCTGCGTCTGCTCTCAGTGCTTCTGGCGGGATTCCATCTGGTCCTGCCTCCTTCCCACATTTCAGTATCTTTATGGCGTTCAGGACTTCCATTTGTGTTGGAGGATTTATGTTCACTTGTAGTTCAGCGGTTGGGCTGCAGGTGGTATTTCTGGACGAAGTGCAGGTGATGGGGTGGTGGTCGATTCAAGAGCTTCTTGAAGTGGTCGGCCCATCGTTTCCTTTGTTTCTCTTCTTTCGTAATTAAATTTCCATCATCATCTTTTATTGGCTTCGTCTGCTTTGATCTCTTCCCTTTCAGATAGCAACCTGGTTATTTGATACAATGTTGTCAGGTCTCTGTCTCTCCTACCTGCAGCAGCCTGTTCTGCTTCACTTGCCAGTCTTTCGTAGAAGTGTCTTTTGTCTTTGCGTGCACTCTTCTTCACTTCCTTGTCCAGTGTAGTGTTTTATACATTGTACCCAGTTCCTCTTGTCGTTGAGTATCCTTGCACTGCACTGGTTTATCTTCTGCTTCACCATCCTCCTCTCCATGCTCTATCAGCTTCCAGGTATCCGTCCAGATCCATTCCACTCCTTATCTTCTTTCTTCTTCCTTCCTAATACTGTTGTGCAGGTTTCTTTCCACACAGCTTTCAAAGACTTCCAGTGTTCTTCCACACAGGTTTCTTCAGGGATGTTCCTCGGTATCTCCCATTTTGTCTTGATGGCTGGCTGCCGTGAAGATCTCCTTTGTAGTTTCATCCTTCAGTTTCCGAGTGTTGTACTTGAATTGAGGTCTATCACCAGCTTCCTTGAAGGCTTTCAACTTGATTTGGAAGGTTCCTTGCACTAGATAGTGAGTGATATGAACCTACATCTGCTCCTCTTCTTGACCTTGTGTCAAGTAGACTGCGTCTCCATTTTCTTCACATTGAGATAAAGTCGATTTGATTTTTAGTGTGTCAATCTGGTGAAATCAACTCCATGTCGCTTTGTGGATATCCTTGTGCTTAAACACACTGTCTGTCTCCAATCACCAAACCGTTGAATGCACAGAATTCTGCAAACAATTCTCCATTCTCGTTCATCACCTCACCGAGCGCTTCTCGACCCATGGTTAGTTCTCTTCTTGTGTCGTCCGCTCCCAGTTTGGCATTCATGTCACCCCACCCATTAGAATGAGTTTTGATATCGCCAACTGATGTTGGGTCTTGTCCAGTGTTGATTGAAGTTGTCTGTAGAATTCCTCCTTTTTCTCTTGATCTTCAATATTTGTAGGTGCGTAGCCTAGCATTGTATGATTGTGACCTTCCTTCCTTCCTTTTGAGTTGAACCCGTCTTGCTGTCATGATCCTGCATGAGGAGATTGGTTGCCACTGCATGAGAGCCTTCGATGCTGTTGGGGATATCATGATAGCCACTCCAAAACTCAGTGTGCTCGTGGTTGTCGTCTGGGTGTATGAGTCAGTGAGTGAGTGAGTGAGTGCGTCAATGAGTCAGTGAGTCAGTGAGTCTGTGAGTCAGTCAGCCAGTCAGCAAGTCAGTCAGCCAGTCAGTCAATCAATCAGTCATACAGACGAACAGACAGACAGTCGGCTGTCAGTCATTCACTGATACACCACACACCTACAATTTCATGCAAATTCACAACCAACCTCAATCAACAACAACAACAGCAACAACAACATGAAACACTATGCACCAACATTCACAATCATAGTCATCAACATCACGCAGGTGCTGCTGTCAATATCCATCATCAGCATCATAATGTTCGAAACTTCATGATGATGTTGCACACAACAAACTTATAGCTAGCTTCCTGCCCACGCCGACGCTGACTCTGACAACAATGCACATCGGATGATGAGGATGAAGTGTCCAGTGGTCAACACCAGTAGACCAATCTGGATCGTGTCATCAACAAACCAGTCCGCGTATCATACTGACAGTTTGCATGCAAAGGAATGTGACAGTGAAGGAGTGAGGCCTAGTCTGTGTGAAAATGTGAACCTACCGAAGGGTGCATGTGTAGATGGCGAAGTCGTCATGGTCACCATCGGTGTTGCTGTCTCTGTTGTTTTCGTTGTTGCTGCGACCACCGTGGTCGTGGTCTCTGTCGTCCTCGTCGTAGTCAGCATGGTTGGTGCGACAGACGTGACAGGCGTTGTCGAGGTCGATGTCGATGTCGATGTCGCTGTTGTGGTGGCTGCCGTTGTCACAGCTGGTCCAGTGAATCGTGTTGAGACACTCATGTCTGTCTCCTGCTCAATGCTGCTTCTCTCAGTCTCCACAACTGTCGATGTGTCTGTACAGAGGTGGACGAGAGGAGAGACAGTCAGTTAAACACACATGCATAGTAATCACAAACTGTCACACACACACACACACACACACACACACACACACATGTATGCATACACATATATTTGCCTGTATGCAAGTGCAGGCTGGAAGGCATGCTTGCACACCTACAACACCAGTGCATACTCTCATCACATCGACTGCCATGACATAGTGTGTCGACTGCGGCTGACGTGTCCTCTACTGTTACATTGATCAATTGAGAAAGACGCTTCACCGGCAAAATCATTGACATATTCACTACGACTCCACCTGAGTATCCCTCGACAAGTACATTCCTGGTTTGGTTATTCCTTGTCATCACGACAATATTTGTTCAACGCCACCTTTCCCGAAAACGCCACTCATTCTTGGCCTAAATCTTTGTGCTATTTATCACACTTATTTCATTCCACATTCAGATAAACATTTCAGTGTTCTGCCGCTGCTATTCTCGGGCACGTTAACCAGTCAGATCTTGAATGCATCAGGGAATTGGTTTTCTTAAATTTTTCGTAGTTCTAGGTGGTAGTAAGAGAAGTGAAAGATGGCAGGACTGTAGATTGAACAGGCTGTTATTATGGGGTATTTAAGGACGCTGGTCTGATGTTCGTGATAGGTGAGCAGCTAATGTGGGCGATAATGACGGCACTCAATCTGACTGGTGACAATCAATGATCGTCCTAGTCTTGATGAAAGGAGAGAAATTCGGTTGTGATGACCTAAATGGATGCAGTCTCACTTTGGTGAGTTATTCGGCATATTTATTCCGTATCACACGAGTCGAAGCTGAATAATCAGCTGTGTATACACCAATTAACAATAATTCGTCTTCCTATATATTGCATTACAACATGTCTACCGATGACGCAATTGCCCTAGCTGTTGCCCTGTCACAACCACACTCGGAACAACTCAATCTTCTCGCACATTTCAAATTCTAATTCTCAATTCCTAACCTGCATTCCACGAAGCCTGAGACATTGGTGTTTACTATCTCTCTGTTTAGAGACTCTTCACTTACCTCTCACTTGAATCTCAATTACCTCTCTCTCGCTCTCTCCGTCACTGCTAACTGGCGACATTCACCGATACGAGTTATTTATCTCTGGTTGTCGTCATCCAGCATCCTTTCTCATCTCCACGCATCACCTCGAAGGAATTGCTTATTTAACGGTGGTGTCCTGGGTGACATGCATACAGGTGTTCATATCTTCAGTGTCCCTAGGTGTGTTCAGCATGAGATACTGAAGAGGAGGGAATTTCGACCACTCTGCTATCCACACATTCAGCTGAAGATCGAGGAGATTGAGAGACGGCGAACAAAAGAATGTGAAGGAATCAGGAAGAAGCGGTGCTGAGTGTTCGTCAATTTCCAGATGGTCACTTGCACATAAGTGTCGGCGTGTCTGCGTGTCTGTGTGTCGGTGTTCAAAATCATAGGATAAGAGTTGAGAGTGAGGAAAGTGGAAAAGCAGGATACCACACTATCGTGGAACCATCTCTTCCATGTGAACACATGTTCGACAATATGCAAGAAAACTGTCATTCAGAGAACAAGTTTCGACCTACCCATAGTTATGGTTGATGCAGTTGAGGAGAGTGGAGTGGCCTGCTTCGAGACATCGGCGTCACTCTGATGAGAGCTGCTTCGCATCGTTGAAATTCCTGTCGATGAGCCTGTTGATAAAGACAAATGGAAGCATGACAAACGCATAGAAACACAGAAAGGTGAATGGTATGAATCGATTGGTCATGAGTGAGAATGCATTGCATCTCGACTGGCCATCTGCATGAGCACGCCTGTTTCACGACAGAGACACAATGCCTCGAGACGAACACAACGACAACCACAACAACTCAACAGGCCCACGTCCACTGCACTCAAATAAACGTGCACACACACACACACACACACACACACACACACTCACGTAGCACACATAATATTGCTCACCAACCACACCACAATGGTGAACAGACCTGCACTACCATTTGAAAAATTCATTCACAGACATTCATCTGCACACAACCAAGTCGACGAGTAATACCGAGAACTTGTTCATCATCTCCTCTCAGCTCGCTCAACTAAACACAAGCAAAGCCAATATGTGCTGAGATACACTAGGGGAAAAGCCAACAAGCACGGGTGAGAATGACATCGTCCCACCCACCTGAACAATATATCGAGCGAGCAACAATGATTATGCGAAGTAACACGAATCACCAGAGACTGCCAACAGGCAAACCGATGGATGCAGCACACTTCCCACTGTCTGTCCACTACACTGCCAACACACTCGATTCACACTCACACTGAAGTACACAGAAAACAATGATCAATGACTCACGGTATGCTGTGATATTTCTCAGACTCGGTCCACTGGTAATATTGAGCCTGCTGCAACCACGAACCAGTATGTCAGTCATGTCCACTTGACTCAGCTGTGAAGCTCGTGGTGAATGGAACTGCACACTCAGCATGGCTTGCACACCGTCGATCGACACACGATCCACTCCACCTCCACCTCCACTCACATATATCCAGATGAAGATTCGAAGGAAGCTGACATGCACACAGCTGGCACCTCGAGAGACCTCTTCATCACCGATCTGAAGACCCCTGAGTACCTGGAAGATGGAAGACGAGAGAAGCAAGGACAACAACACAGTCAGTCATGTATCTCGATCACACTATATTGAAATGTTACTGTTCCCAATGGTGATAATTGTAGTATGCATAGTAGTTCGATTGCATATGATCGTTGACTTGATCGGTGTGCGCAGAGTCATCTGCACCAATATGCTTGATTCCAGACTGATTGCCATTGGCCGTCGGACAACAGACACACAATTCACGTCTCTATGAATGAAGTCAGACTGACTCGGCTGGCGAACACTACCATCGCGTCGTGCGCAAGAGTGTTAGGCAAGCGAACAACGGGTGGATGGTCGAATCAGTGGAAGGATCAATGCATATCGCAACGCCTACACACAACCATTCACAACATTCACCCACACATTTGCATACACTGCCATGAGCAAACGTGCTCACGCTGACACTGACGCTGACGCTGACGCTCACGCACACACACGCAGGCACACGCAGGCACACGCACAGAGATGAAGAAAATATGGTGAGGATAAGAAATCAACACCTACCAGGTCACAAGACGACATTGACAGGCTCCTGAACTCGGCACTCGACTGATTCAACAGATTGACTGTCCAAGGCATGGGGGTTGACAGCTCCTCAACATAGATGATGACATCCACCTCGAACGATGTGGTCACTACATGTGGTTAAATGAAGGGGGTGAAACGAAATGAATGAATAAATGAATAAATAAAGTGAGTCAGTGAGTCAGTGAGTGAGTGTGTGTGTGGAATGAGTAGAATGATGTGTTCGCCAAGTGTTCACACAATTCTGATGTGACGAGTGGAAACTGTCTGGCTGCTCTCGATGGCTGACGCATTGACAACTGATTTGTTCACAGTCATCTCGTCAAGTCGAAATGTTAGGTAAAGGCGATTCTGGATCGAGTGGGTTACACTCGATTGAGGAAGAGGTGTTGGAGAACAGCTGAACACATATATGGTAACCACAACCTACGAGGCACATGCATGTGCTCATCACAAGTTGGATTTCTGCTGGCCTCCTCACATCTCTGCCAGTCAATCATTCAGTCAGATAGCCAGCCTTCCAGCTGGCCTGTCTCTCTGCATACATTCATGAATGCATACTTGACCGTGTTTTATCATTGTAATCTACTCTCAATGAAGTTGCTCGCTATTCGTGACTTCAATTGACGTTTACTGATGAATGACAATTTACGACTGAAACGTGATTGGAGCGTGGGTGACTTGTCGTAGGCTAGCAGATACACAATGACTAGTAGAGCAAATTTTGCAAATGCTTGTATACTTATGAACTGCAGCTGTCAAACTGCTGAAAGCAATGCATGTTGTCACATCTTGACTTGTTCATCGTTGGCTGTAGAGGGCTACGTTATTGTTGTTGTTGCTGTTGTTGGCGAACGGTGTGACAATGAACTTCAGTTTGCATCCACTTCACTATGGTGAGTGATAGCATGTTGAGAGAGTGAGTGAAGATGAGGAATCTGGAAGGTGGTGGTTATCTGTTCACGCAGTATTTAATCTCAGTAAGGCTGAGAAGTGTCTTGTTGCCATTGATCACTCGAGAAATCATTGTTGGTTTCCTCGGTGCGATGCACTGTTGAGTGTCTCAGATCGTGAAGCTTCATGTGTGGGTTCGCTGTTGAGGTTGACAAGTTGTGAAATCTCTGTGGTATCAGACACGGAAGGAATGTTTCTGCACCTGCAGGACCAGATGTTTCGAGGTTTCTGTAGTTGTTGGATGGTGCAAGTGTGAATCCAGTGTGGTAGTGAGTGACGGTGGCTGTGTGTGAAACAACCACTTGACCACTTCGTGCTAATTCGGTACTATGCAAGGTCAGCTGGATATTCGTCTCTTGTGGCTGACTGTCAGGAGATGTCACAGAATTCATTGTGTCCTCAGATGACATTCAGTGAGCAGGAGACTTTGTATTGGATAATTGATGAGACTTATGCAAGGTGGGATTCTGCCGACCGACATGGATATCAACAACCTAGCTGCTCATCGACAAATGAATCGGGAGTACCGCACTTGAACACTGAGAGATTTGTCAGCCGACAATTTGTATGTGGACCGTGTGATGGACTAGGCTGGGATGTTGTTGATTCACTGCAGTTCTATACATGAGGAAGATTATGAGATGTTTGTCATAGCACTAGAATCATTTGGAATTGATGACAGAGTGTTTGTTGTCCAAACGATATTCAGTTTAGCACTCTGTGTGGATTGATTGGGCCACTCAATCAGTAGATTTGAAAAGAGTGTGATTTTAGTAGGTTGTAGCTAACAATGCATCTTGTGAGTGTATTTTGATGAATGTGGATAAGTGAGTGTGTATTGCATTAGGAAATGGTGGGTGGGTGGCGAAAACACACACGTAAGATCGAACGAAGTAGGAGATGTGGTAATGATAGCGAACAAACAGGCTAGCTGGTAGGTTCATAAGATTTTATGAATGTTAATCTGATGAGATGATAATCGTGGGATCACAATGAGCTGGATTTGACGTCAGAGACCTTGAGGTTCTATCACCATTCAGGTAGCCACATTTTGTGGGATGTCAGAGACAGTGGGACAGTAGTTCTGAAGACATTCTGAGTGTTGAGGCTGGCAAGTGAACAAGACACTTTGACAGTGTCTTTCGTCAAACCTGGATAGGGTAGTGTGCATTGAATTGACATTCGTGAGATGAGTGGCGAAATCTCACAAGCAAGTTTCAAGTAGGAGATAGAGTTTCTATGGTGGAGGGAGGTTCTTCATTTCACGGGACTATATGTGTGTGATTATGCGTGGTTATCCGAATGAAGAAGATGGTTTATTGAATACCGTTAAAGAAGGAAGGAAAGGTAGAAGGGCTGTTATGTATGAGCATGGATTTTGTCCAATGGAGCGTGTGAAGGAGGAGAAATGTGGTTGTGATGTAGACGGTGTAGACGAATCCCACACTTCCCAGAATAGTCAATGAGAGAGAGAGAGAGAGAGAGAGAGAGGAGATTGCACCACGATGAGGTCATTGGAATTAGGTGTAATGTGAGTGTGGAATGGAAGTCATAGTGCAGCACTGACACATGAGTTGGATATTTGAGTTGGAATCCAGTGATAATCGTTTGTTTCGGTGTTCAGTGTGGTTGATATATTAGGTGCGTTATGACAAATATGATACGGTCAGCAACTGTGTTCATGCCTGTTGGAATGTGTAGGTCATCCGGAAGTTGTCAGCATGATTTCAACGTGTGTAGTCTGACCAAGCAGCTGTCACATGTTTCTGTTGCAAATTGTACTCCATGGAGTTGATGGAGATTTGGCTTTGCGTCTTTCACTCATTTCTCCTTCGTATCTTCATCGTTTAGTACTTGCAAGTTGAAGGAATGGAATGCAATGTGCGATAAGGCTGTGTTTAGTTAAAGAATCGAGGGTGATGTTGAGCTGGAGATGTTTCGGTGAGATGAAGGATTGTGTGGTGGGAGATGCGTTGGAGTATGCTTCGGATGGAATTGGATGCAAGCATCCGTGTTTGAGATAATGATGAGAAGTGTAGGAAAGCAAAGGAGAATTGCATTGATTAGGCATATCCTGGTTGTGAGATGTGGGGAGATATGGGCTATGTGGTAGAAAACGTGATCAACATCAACTGGTATCAATCAGATGAGTAGTTCGGTGGATATGCCACAATATGTTGTTGTTGTTCCTATTGTGTGAGTGTTTTTTTATCATCATTTAGCACTGGTGTTGAGAAGAACATCTGTGTTGCAAAGTATCTGGAATGAATGTAGGTGAACAACGAGGATGAATGTTTGCGTATTAGCACACTAGACATCCATGTGAGGTTATGTTATTGGGTTGAGAAAATGACACCTGTCTAATAGGTCGTTCATAGAGGAATACGAGAAGAAAATATATTTTGTGCGAACACTCGGATTTCCTATGAGGTCAGATGAAACATGCCAAGAGCTTTGACGTGCATGAATGGTCTATTTTCTGTGAGGGTGAATGAATTTGGAGACTGGTAACGAGTAAAACGACGATGCAATGAAATTTGCACACAGTGTGTAGTCTTACGTGTGATTAGCGAAATAATAAGACACGTGAAATTGGAAGCGCGATAAGATGTAGCTATTGAAACAACCAAAATTAGGGTAAGCCGTGAGAACCGAATCCTGGAAGAGAGAAATGCTGAGTGAGAAAAAGTAGAAGAAATAAGTTGATAATAGGGGTGAGGATGGAGATTCCAGAGATCAGTGAAGAATAATGATGAAGGGCATGGAGGCAGTGAAGAAAGCGAATGAGAAGAGACCATAAAGGAGAGAAAGTGGATGGAAAGGTGAAGCGTGTGAGTAGCTGAAGAGAGTAATCGAAAGCATTCTGTGTAACACAGAGACAGTGAAGATGAATGTGTGAGAGTGAAGGAGTGAGGGAATGTGTGTGGTGAAATGTGAACTTACCGAAGGGTGAAGGAGTAGATGAGTGAGCCGTGATGATCGTTGTCACTGTGGTAGTCGGTGTGGTCGTTGTGTTGTCTGTGATGTCTGTCGTCACCGTGGTTGTCGTATTCGCAGTCAGCATGGTCGGCGTGACAAACGTGACAGGCGTTGTCGTCTTTGCAGTGGCAGTGGCTGTGGCTGTGGCTATCGTTGTTGTTGTTGGTGTTGTTGGTGGTGTGGTTGTGGCTGTCACCGTTGTGGTCTGTTTGGTTGTTACAGCTGGTCGAGTGAATCGTGTTGAGATACTCGTGTCTGTCTCCTGCTCAATGCTGCTTCTCTCAGTCTCCACAACTGTCGATGTGTCTGTACAGAGGTGGACGAGAGGAGAGACAGTCAGTTAAACATACATGCATAGTGATCACAATCTGCACACTTACATATATGAATATATCCACGTATATGTCTCCATGGTTGTCTAGGCTGGAATATATACTTTCTTACCTACTACCTCAGTGTAGACACTGATAACATCGACGACAGTCTCATTTACTTTGGTTTAAATGACAAGTCTCCTTGTGTTTCATTCACCGAATCACATGAATGCTTCGTTTCCTTGACAAGCTACATGTATCCACCCTACCATAAACGAAGTAGATGAGGTTGCACTACATACCTATTGTAACTGTGATATCATCTACACAGACATTCTCTTCATGTTTCTCTTCAACATCACCACTCGGCATCACCAAGAGACGTGAAACAGGTACACATCCATCTTCAACCTCTCTATTCTCATGTTCATCTTGTTCTTCCCCTCGTCACGCAATGCAACAAATATAGCCTCACATAATTAGATTCGAAAGGAAAATCAAACACATTGTATTCTCCCAAGCTCTGGTCCATTCATAGACTTCGTCTTCTGATGTTAATATTGAGCTAGATACGAAATTCTCAGTCTCTTACTTCGCAACCACTGCCATGAAAATCTGGTGCTTAGTCTCCTATGTCTCCACACCGTTGATTTAGTTTTTGAACTACGAACTTCCGAAATGTTTGATGAACCGAAAATAAGGCATTTCAATGTATAATTCTGGAATCTCTATCCATAGATGTATGCTGTGTCTCTGAGAGACTTGAGCGGTTATGAAGTAGGCCTCACCTGGACATTGAAGTGAATCTTGAAAATTCACATTACGAGTATCCGGAGACCGAATGGCTAGCTCTCGTGTACTGG